TTGGTTTGGGTATGTAGATGGTGACAGATTTTAATTTTTGGGTGAACTATCATCACTGTAAAGTTAAAGATTTGTTTAAATAATTTTTACAATACTTGCCTTAGCAAACACCACTCATAACAGAATGCTAAATGATACTAACAGAATAAAATTAATCTTTTGTGCTCGTCCTGACAGAATGATAAATAGGATCCACTTTCCAGATCTGGTAACCGTTTCAAAACCGTTTGAGAGGAAGTCTAGCTTTCCCTCTTTTTCTTTCTGTTGCTTCTCCCTCCCTTTTCCAACCCCTCCCTCTCATCTCTCTCTCTCTCTAAGGGCCAGGACAGCAGCTTGATGACGCAGCATTGACAGAGGCCTGTGGAACGATTGCTGGGCTGAGAGAATAACAGAGAGGCGCTGCTTTGGCCGGCCTTGACACTCAAACACACACACAACGGCACAAAGGAAGCACTGCTGAGAGAGAAAGCAGCTGATCTGGCCCTGAGGAGAAACTGTGTTGCTGAGTCTCTATCCGTCGCTCTCCTCACAACAATGGCAGAACAAACTGATCTCACCCTGGGCCAGACCGTTTACATCTACAGCTGCTCAAATATGGAAGAGGAGGAGGAATAGATCAGGTATATATCAGCCCCGCTCACTCAGAACTCTTTCGCTGTCTTACTCACTCTACTAACACACAGAGAGATTGTCCATTAATGCTGACTAAAAAGAGGCATTAAAATGTACGCTGTGCTTTCCACTTTGGGCCAGACGACTGAGTGTCCACGAGCGAGATTAGTGTGCGTTTATGTGTGCAAGCTTGTTTTGAGCATATACTGTGGGAATTCATCCAGACAGTCGTTTAAGTGCGTTTCTCTTGACTGCGTTCCAATAAAGGCGGGCCTTACTGTAACAGTGACATAATAATCTTGTAAATGGCATAGAACTAAATGTTTCCTGCACTATAACATGATTATTTATATTACTGGAATTTTTTTAATAGTGACAAGATGAAATATTGTAAAATAATAATAAAAAATATGCATGCTAAAAATTGCAGGACTGGGGATTCTGCATGATGACCACCAGGGGGCACAACACTGTAGTTCCTCACACAGATACACATTTAACCATACCAACAGGGACCAGAGGAAAGACGATCTCGATTGTGAGGGGTGGAATGAACAAACGTCAGGTTGGTAAAGGGATTTTACTCTTACTGCGTTATAAAAAGAGTTAGAATTTAATGAGTCACTTGATAGCAGGAAGTGTAGAACTGTAACCTGCCCTCTTGCTTTTGTTCCAGTAAGATGACAAAATTATTGTGGTTTTACGTATGTTTGATTTTCATTTGTCTGTCTTTGATGTATTCACATTTGAGCTGAATAGCTCCCTGGTACAGTTTTGTTTCATGAGCGGCAAAGTTTCCATAATTCATTACGAAACACAATAGCCCACATATTGACCTAGGCCTCATCTTGATCGTCAGAGCGATTTGTGTTAGTGTTCTGCTTGTTTTCTTTCACTTTTTTATGCTATACTTCACAACATTTTGGCCTTGAGTGCAAGATTGATGCAATGAGCTCACTTTGGACCGTGGTTTTACATAGGATAGAGTAGGCCTCACTTTGACAGGCTTCAGATGCATTAGCATCTTTGATACTTTCAGGGCCACAGCCTGCTAGAAGCATTATATAGTGACAAAGAACAAAAGTACTTCAGCTGTGCCGCACTTGTCTGCTAACGGTTCACTGCTTTCTTGTTATGACTCAGTGATGACTAAACTCCTTACACCTCTGGGTTATTTAGAAGCAGTATCGCATTGCAGAAGAACTGAATACGTTGTATTTATACACTTTAAGAAGTTTGTGAAAATGCATCCCAATATACTGGTAATGGGAAGGAATTTTCTGAATTGATTTCTCACAGGTGTTTTACATATATTTTTAATAACGCTTTGCATTATTTTGTTTTTTGGGTCCGTAAATTTAATGGAAAAGGTACTGGAAATTTTCTGCCAAAATATGATTAGTTTTTTTATTACAGTAAGATTATTTTTTATATTGGTTTTTATAAGATTCTATATATATATATATATATATATATATATATATATATTAACATGGAGGGTTTTTATATTCCAGGGGACCCACTCTTTTAACCAATGAATTTCTATTCGCTTTCTAGATAAAGATATAATAAAATATAATTATTTATATTACTTGTATATAGATATAGTAACTTTTTAAGTAAAAAAAATATATTTTTGTAATATTTGTCCCATTTGGATCCAGTAATTAGTTCCAAAGCAGTTACGCCCACTGCAATATAGCATGCAAAATGTAGATTCAGATTGCAGTAGCGTGCAAAATGTAGATTCAGTATAGATAAGATTTAATCTAAATTATTCAACCCCCTTTGCAAATCAGGTTGATTGGCAAAATTTGCAACGAACAACTCAAACAAAAGTAATTGAAAAATCAACTGACAATGCAACTTTTAATGATTTCTGCGGTCTCAAAATTATTCAACCCCCTGAATAGAATCCCTCACAACAGCACAAGTATGCTAAACAGGGGTTGTTTCTTGGGTTGTTGTCTCAAGCACACCTTATGCAACTAATCAAAGGGCTTCATTAGTTGCACCATGTGTGCTTGAGCTAGAACACCTAAAATATATGGACTGGCTAGCTTTGTTGAGTGTCACGTTTGACTGCATGTTAAAAATAAGTCAAAACCAAGTCAAAAGAATGGTCCAAAAAGTCAAGATAAGTTATCACCCCTTCACAAACAAGGAACAGGAGACAAAAAAATAGCAAAGGCACTTAATGTTCCTAGAGACACCGTTGGAAGCATAGTTTGCATGTTCAAAGTTAACGGAACAGTGGAAACACTACCTGGACGAGGTAATAAAAAAAAAAGAAAACGGAAGCTATCAATGGCCGCAACCAAATTTCTGAGAAGGCAGGATCAGAAAAACCCTCAAGCGCCTGCAAAAGACCTGCAGCAAGACTTGGTGGCAGCATGCAATGAGCTTTAAGCTTGCACAGAAAGGCGTGTACAGAACTCCATGCCGGCATGCCAGAACTCCAAGAAGTACAAAAGCACGAGAAAAGTCGGCTCCAATATGCTCAAAATCATATAAATAAGCCACAGAAGCTTTGGGATTCTGTTCTGTGGGGCGATGAAACAAAAAAAAAATGGATTTGTATGTCTTGAGGAAAAGAATGGATGGCAAGATGGATGCATTGAAGTATCAAGAAATCCTTGGAGAAAACCTCATGCCGTCAGTGAGGAAGCTGAAGCTTGGGTGTCATTGGACCTTCCAACAGGACAATGATCCCAAGCATACCTCAAATTCCACCAAGGTGTGAAAGATTGTGCAGTGGCCATCAGTCACCCCATTGTAAATCCCTGGTTGGGGATGAAGAAGGTGGTTGCAGCACACAAACCCAAGAATGTTACTGAACTGGAGGTCATTGCTCATGAGAAATGGTCTAAGATTGGTTTGGTTGATTAAATCTGGTTATACATCTCGGTTGCAGAAGGTCATAACTGCAAAAGGGTGTTCTACTAAGTACCAAAGGTGCAGACGTCATTGAAAGCTGCATGTTCAGTTGAATTTTGGGAAACCAATATGTTGAATTGAGATATTTCAATTATTTTGATTTGTCCATTGGCAACAGCTAAAAGCCTGTACATTTTGCCAATAAACCTGATTTGCAATGGGGGTTGAATCATTTCAATTACAACTGCACTTCAATTATCGTGTAGCCGAAGTTGATAAATATCCATGACTTGTCCAAATCACAATTTTCTTTTTAATTATAAGTATTTTCCAGGACTGTGGGAACACTATTAGACATATTACAGCAATTATTCAAAAGATTATTGGATGTTCCTAATTATGTATAAGCAGGCAGTGAGAGGTTGTGGGCTGCATGGGGAGATCAATGATCAGACTAGCTTCTGATTCTTATTTCACCATCAGTGGTTCACTTATAAAACAACCTAAGAGCTGAACACAGGCCAGGCCACTAGTGAATGCAGCCTTTGTTACAGGAGCTTGTCTTCCTGGCACCCAGGTAATCAGCACTCAGCCTTGTTTCCAGAAATAACCGCTGGTATCTGGGCATTAGGTTCACATGATGCACTGCGAGCTGAAGCAGGCGGTCTTCCGCAAGCTTTAAAGAGACACTTCACCGACTTTAAAAAAAAAAAAAAGGTTTGGTACATTTAACTCAGATGTTAGCAAGAGCTTATTTGACTGAAAACTAAATCAATATAGCATAAATATAGTGGAATAAATGGCACCCACTTCTGGAAAAATCAGGGATTTTTGTTCTCATATAAATGTGGAAATATTTTAGGGTCTTTAGAAATTTAACAGATTTAAGAGATAGAATTCTACCATATTTTTAGATCACTTATGAAAGAACATTTTATCAGGCTGTGGTTCAGCTGAAATTGGGACAAATAAATACTAAGACATAGGAAACATCCTTTTCAATTCAACTTACACTTTAAACAAAATTGAAGCTTTTTCACCAGTGGTCTCAGAGCTCAGATTACAAGGAATTGCATTTCTGTACAATGTCCAATGTCCATTGTAATTGAATTATGGACATTAAATAGTCCTGTTAACCTCCTGTTTAATGGGGTTTGGGAATTTTTTAAATTCTTAATGACTGTGTAGAATATACAAAGTGCATTCAGTATTTATACATATATTAGTGTGATTGGAAAATAAGGAGAAGCTTTAGAGAAAATAAATATTGTAAGAAAAAAAAAGGATAAAAAATGAATACCCATAAGTATTCAAAGGATTCGTGTGCTGTATTTATTTGCAGTCCTCACCCTGAGTAAAGACATACCCACTTTGGGCCATAAAATTTTATAACCTGCAGATGGAATTTGAAGTTGCTCCTCCTATTTTTCCCTGTCCATTTTTTTTTCCCCATTCTCTCCCTCCCGTCTCCTCTCTCTCGTGTTCTCTGCAGAACAGCCGCATCCCTTTGCATCAATCAGCAGCCATGTTGAAGGTGATCCCACAGTCCCCACCACCTTTCCACTTCCTCCCGAGCTCTCGTTCTTCAGCGCTCACTAACCCTCTGTCCACGGCGGGTTTTCAACCTTTCGCTGAAACCCCTCTCTAGTCGTCCGCCATGTTCCTTTTTCTTTTCCTTGCCTCAAATCACCATTTCTGCTTACTCATGCGCTCTCTCATCCACTCTTACTCCTCTGCTGCTCGCCCTCCTTCCGTTTGATTTCAGCAATGAGCGTTTGCGAAGCAGACTGTGCCGTCTCTCTCTCTCTCTCTCTTGCTCGTTCTCTTTCTCTCACATCCACCCACCACCTTCACAAAGATGCACAATAAAATGTTGCAGCAGTGATAGCGATACAGCTTAGCCACAACAGCAAACAGCCACGTTCAGATGTGCAGAAACACATTCCGGACCTGACAGCGGCATGTTTCATAAGGTGGGCGAGGGACAGGCAGAGAACACAAACATGTGTGTGCCTGTGCATCTAAATTCATCGCTGCTCATGATCTTTTTTTGGACGGGTGGGGGCAGCGGGACTCATCTAAAATAGCAGCAACCAGACCGCCGTTATTTATTCTACATGATGGAAAATGTCAGTCTCTGCCTCGCGTCAGGTGCCATTTTTGTTTTGACACCGGTGGTTGCATTGTTGCATCCACCTCACATGCGAGCGCTTCTCACACGTTCGTTTCTCACTCCGTTTTTTCCGCGCTCTCTCGTTCCGGATGCCCTTTTGCAGTGGTTAATGAAGTTGCAGTCCTTGCTAGCACGCCGCATCTCTTATCCGCTGCTAATAATGCACAGACAGCAGTGGAGCTGCCTCGCCCGACTATTTATAAACTCCACAGTGGGCGAATAGACCCTGGTGGCCAGCTAGCAAGCGTACGGAAAGAACGAGACCTATAGCAGGGTGCAGTGGAGCAGACTGATGCCCCCTGCCACCTCTGGACTGGGCGTCTCACGCAGAGAGGGGACTGGGACTAGGGTGAACGAAAAAGAGAGAGAGTGTGAGAGAGAGAGAGAGAGCAGGATAGACTTATAGGAGAGACTGCGATCGCAGCAGAGAGCAGCAAGTGACGAGTTGAATAAAAAAAAAAAGCTGTAACACTTTCGCCTGCAAACGAAACATCTCGTTCCAGCCATCAGTGGATCACAGGAACTGTAGAGGAAGGCATGAGCGATGTTTTCCGCTGTCCATCCACTGAAGCGCATTCTCTGATTAACTGAAATAAAGGTATGTTCAGCATGCTTTTCCCTCCAGTTTCAAACAGACGTAGTCGAGCGCTTTTTTACAGTAAAGACTTGTGTGGTTTTATCTGTAATAATGAAAGCTAATGTTTTCGCTCTTTATTTGACTGGACATCTCATACTCGTAGGCAAATGTTTCTCTTATTTTGTACAGAACGGTTTAAGGGAAGGTGGGGGATTTTTATGTTTCCGCCATTTCGCTTATCCGGTATGGTAAGTCACGTTTAGGGTGTGGCACATCCACGGACAACAAATGTATTTTACACTTATATAAAATGCCTGAATGTTGAAGAAACCTTTAACGGCCAAAGCAACAAATAGCGAGCCTATGTTTTGTTTTTTAATGTAAAAGGGCCTTTCAACTCAAATTCGTATGGGCATCTAGCTCTCCGAGTCTAGGGATGTGATTTTGACTGCATACTAGTCCACTAAACTCACACACACGCACATCAATGCTGATAATGGTGATCCCAGGCCATTGTCCGCAGCTAAATGATACCGGGGGTTCCCAACATGGCGCTGCCTGTAAGAATGAACCGTTTTTCTCTGGACAGAAAGCACGAGCCGCCATTCATACAAATCCCAATAAGTGCTGCGCCACAGCATGTTGCCGTGACAACGGAGGCCTGTCAGACAGGGAGCAGGCGGATGTTTTCCCAGCGATTAAGAACGGTCTGTCTCTCCCGCTCAGCGCAATCACAAACCGTTCAGATTAAAATAGATCCTCAGCAGCAGTATAGCAATAAAATCTGGCATGATGTTACATCCAGACTGTGTTGTTTATTGCAGTGTAATACTGCTGTGTCATGTTTTTGATGATCAGAGGCAGATACGTCTTCTTTGTGGTTCTGTTGTTTCCTTTCTCTTTATGAGAGTAACACATAATGTTTCAGGGCGACCACAGAACAGCCCGAGGAAATGATCTTCTAAACTAGTTTGTTCAGAAACTGAGCACTGACCATATAAAGGTTTGCGTGTCAATCATTTTAATATGTAATATTAATGTCTCAGAATTTAGATTCTAAAATCCGAAATTGTTAGTCCAAACAAGATCGACCTCTACAGTCTAATGGAACATTTACAGGCAGCCATTTTAGTTTATGCCAAAATGGGGTTTTTTGTCGTGGTTTCAAAATGGCTGCTCTGTTAAAAAGAAAAAACCTCTCAACAGAGGCACGGAAAACTTTACCTTCTTGCCAGAATCATACGTTACAAAAAAAAATAATGCATTTACTTTGCAGAGCATTTAGTCCATGTTCGTATTAGAACATGGTCAGTTTACTACAAGTGCTCCAATGGAAACTAATCTACAAACAATGGCAAAGCGTAATCTTTTTTTTACGTGATGTGGGACATACAGAAAATGGAAAGTTAGCTATATGACTATCATCTGTGCAAGTGTCTAAGAAGCAATTCTGCAATTTGGCAAATAAAACGCCCAAGTGTTTCGTTTTAGGCTCTCACAAAAGTAAAGGCCTAAAAACTACATTGCAGTCATATATTTAAAGAACAATGTGATTTGGACAGTCCATCAGCGTCACACAGACACAACTAGGGCTTCATACACAAAAAGAGCAAGAGAGGACAAAATAGTGCAAATGAGAGACAAAAGACGTAAACAATCTATATGAAAAACTGTATTCACTTTGAGCTTTGTGCCTCCGAACAATATGTTGTGCTTTGCTAGTACTGTACATTGGCCATGAGTGTTGCTGCATCTGACATATTTCCACTTTGCAGTGGCAGGTCACTCTTCGTCGTGGGGTGCAGTCGAACTGGAAATAGATATTGAGAAGTAGAAATAGGTCAGTTTGCTAGGCTGGATATTTAAAAGCTTTTGTGCTCCTCTACCAGCAGGGAGATGCGAATCTGACCTTTGTTCATTTCCTCATTGTGCCGCTTTGTAGTTTAGCCAAATAATGACTCAAATGAGCTTCATGCACTGGGTCGTTGACAGAAAATAGAAACTAAAGAAAAAAAAGAAAACGAAAAAATCTTTAGAACTTTTCAGACACATACACATTACTTTATATATAAAAACCCCATTAAAGTCTATGAAAACTAATGATTAAATATATTAGGTACTGATTGCTTCATCTCATATCTCATTCTCATATACATATAAACTGTTTAGCTATTTTATTGTATTTACTTGAAGTTTTTTTGTTGTGTCACATATATCTATATCTGCCAAGGCCAGCACTGTAAAAAAAAAAAAAAAAAAAAAATATATATATATATATATATATATATTTTTTTTTTTTCAAGATTTGTTATCACAACATTTTTTCTTTTGTCAAATCAAGTTAAATAATTTATTTAGTTCAGATAACTTATTATTTTGAGTTTCTGATGATTAAATCAATCTCCTTCATTGCATTAACTCGATCAACTTAAAATTTTAAGGCAACCAGGTTACTTAATTTTTTTAAGTTAAACCAACAATATTTTTTAGATTGCATTTTAATGCCGTATTTGCCACCTTTTCCCTGTTACATCTGGTTGCACAGGATTTCATCTTCCCACTCTCTGACAGCTGGCATGTAAATAATTATTGCTACTGCTTATAAATCATTATGTACAAACACTGTCAATGCAAGACGTAACTGTTATTATTCTTAGGGATTTTGTGTTGTTTTTTTAATGTCTTGTTTTTGCTCATCCATGACTTCTATTTTGAAGTCATCTTGTTCTTGTGAGTCTTTTGTCTCTGTCAAATGTATCCCTCCCATGACCTAATTGTGTTCAGCTGTGTTTTGCTCCCTCGTTAGTTCTTATGTGTTCTGTAAATTGCTCCTGTGTTTGCCTGGTCTGCTGTTGCCTTCAAGTGTACTTGGTAAGATCTTGCGTCAGAGTATCATAATTAGCATGTTATTCAAGTCTGCAGACATAGCCAAAAAATACATTATGTTATTATAGAAGAAGTTTTTGTAGGTATATTTTTTTAGGTACATTTATTTCATAATAGCTCGAAGCTATCTTGTGTGACAGAGGTGCAATTGCAATTGCTTATTACTATGATTCATTTAGGCCTATATCCAGAATTGTTTATCTGTATTCCAGCCCATATATGAAGAGTTCAGATGCAAAAGCCTCTAAATGCCATTTGAAATTTTCTTCTAAAATGATCATTTTTATCAAACTTGTATATTTAAGTTCAGTAATTTCACTTAAATGGCAATGATAATTACCTATTAATTGTTATTTAAGTGAAATTACTGAACTTAAATATACAAGTTTGATAAAAATCATCATTAAAGAAGAAAATTTCAAATGGCATTTAGAGGCTTTTGCATCTGAACTCTTCATATATATATATATTTGTTTAATTATTTTTTTCTAGTCAAAACCGGTCATGTTATGTATTATTTTTGGATTTTTGTTGTCTGTATTCTTTGCTTTAAAGGGATACTCCAAAATAAAAATGTACTCAACATTTACTCATCCTTGTGTTGGTCAAACCCTGTATGACCTAATTTCATCTGTAGAACATAAAAGAAGGTATTTTTGAGAAATGTGAGAAGTGTTTTTTTTTTTTTTTTCTCCATACACTGGAAGTCAATGGTCTACAATGTCGTTTGGTTCCCAACGTTTTCATCATCTTTTGTGTTCAGCAGAAGAAAATATCATACAGGTTTAGTTAAATGAAGACAACATTTTTATTTATGAGTAAAGTATCGGAAAGAGAAATCTGTTCAGGAACATATAAACTTGAAGGTGAAATAACACTAATAAACAATCACAATATAAGCCTTTAGGATCTGGCCTTCTCATGTGGCAAAAGTCTTCTCATTACAACAGTAAGGGCCAAGTTAAGCCTCCCCACAGCTAAAGCAACCTTATCTGTTTGACTTATTAATAATTATTTGGTCACATACTGTAGATGAGCGCTGAAGGTTAAGCAGCGTCAGCATAAACTTAAAGGCCAGGTAAGCTTGTCTCCTAGTGCCCCTGGGATATTTTCCATTGAGAAAACCATATGTGGCAATTATGTTACCAAAGAGCCATTGTCAATAGAAGCACAGCAGACATGCCAATGACAAACAAAGAGTTCTGGGTTAAAGGTTTTGTTTCCCATTTGTATAATGCGGTCCTGCCATTATACCTTGAATTTGAGTAATATATTTTACTTTGTGGAAGTGCCGATTAGAGGGCAGCACTTTCCCAGCCACGGATTCTTGCTCACTTCCTCCAGTAGATAATGGGATCATAGTGTGGCTTTTAACACATGCATTAATGCAAAGAGAGCAATAATTCATCCCTATCCTTCATTATCCACTGAACTAAGCTGTTCTGAACATAAATACCAAATGGAGATGGAAGTGCATAGGCCAGTTATTACAAATTTGTATTTAAAACGTATTTTCTTTTTTTAAAAGAGAGTAACCTATTTATTAAAATTGCTGCAGTTCTTTGTGTGCATTTCTTTGTTTTTCCTGTGCAATTACTTCTGTTTTATGCTTTTCTTTGTGCATGTATCTATGTGTACTTACCTTGTATAAAGTATGCTTTTGTATTCTGTAATCTTGAGCACAAAAATATGGTAGAATAAAGACTTTTATGGCAGTGTGCAAACATCCTCAATAATAAATCTCTAATAGCCTTCCCCTCACTTCCCTGCATCAAAACAACATCAAATGTCTTTGCACTATATAACTGATGTGGTCAAAATCAATATTTGGGTATAAGAACTGCATACATTACAGTTTGGGTTATAAGGTAATATAAGGTGACAGTGAACCAAGTGTGCTGAGTTTATGAGTTGAGTCATGCTGCCATCTAGTGGTTTAATAAGTTTAGATTACAAATCAAAAAGATTACACTTCTCATTATGTGGTTTCAAATTTCTCCTTTCTACTTTTTTTTTTAGTAATAGTTAAATGTCACGTCAAACCAATACACAAAAAACGTATATTTGTTTAACATTTAAAGAGATGATTCACCCCCAAAAAATGATTCTGTCACCAATTACTCATCCACATGTTATTCCAAACCTGTAGGTATTTCCTTTTTCTGTGGAACACAAAGGAGTTTCTTCTTTTGGGCTCTGCCAAAGAAGAAAAAAAAAGTCATAGGTTCGGAACAGCAAGAAAATACATTTTCATTTTTGGGTTGAGTGGCATGATCTGTGGACAGTGACTTTAAGTGCATTGAAAACCTCATCCAGTTATTTTTCCTTTCCCCACCCCTAGTAAAACTGTTCATTGACATTGAAAAACAAAGGTCATATGCTGTTATCTCAAAGTTGCCATAATTTTCACAGATTTAAATGATTTTTTTTACTTTCTGTCTCTTCTCTGCAGATGACTGTGGTCAACCCCAGCACTCTTGGTATGGTGGACAATTCCCACCCCCAAACTGTCCTCAGTCATCTTAGTGAACAGCGTTCTCAAGGCCTATTCTGTGATGTAATAATCGTTGTGGAGGATGTCAAATTTCGCGCTCACCGCAACATACTGGCTGCCACAAGTGGATATTTTCGTAATGCTTTCAAAACGCCTGATGTCTACACATCCAACCAGGTGCTGGAGTTAAAAGACTTAAAATCTGAGGTCTTTGCTAGCATTCTAAACTTTATCTACAATGCCAGAGTGGAGTCAAGTAGTATGGAGGACAACAGGTCTCTGGTGGCAGCTGGAAAGCGTTTAGGAATTCCCTTTCTGGAGAAATTGCTTGACTTTGAAAGGCAGAGCTCTGGCATCTTGCAAGGTCAAGCCTCTGCAAGCTGCGGAAGATCAAACGGTCAGTCAAAGTTGGCTGACACATGCACACTGAAAAAAGAGACACTCAAGCCTGAGGAGTTAGACTGCTCCAAGGGCCCGAGGATCACCAATGCTTTCTCCATTACTGAGGTTGGGACAGTAAACAACCCATTCTCTACAATGGATCATCGTAACAAAGTTATTGAGGAAAGGCATTCTCCTTCGAGCTCCCAAGATACAAGCATATCACACACCGAGAGTGAGCCTGCCCATGCTCTAACGGAGCACTCGTATGCAGTGAGCCAGGGGCAAGAATCTAAAGAGGTTAGCCAGGAGAACGATATCGGAAAAATCGTGCCGGCCGTTCCCCCAGCTAAGCCCGTGGTTAACAATAGACTTGGACCTATAAAGAAGCGTCGTATACATGGTAACGGTATTCCGTCTCTCTCAATTGAGCCAGGTGCAACAATGCCCACTATTACTGGCACATCTGCTGTGAAAAATGCTATATCTTCCTCCCAGTTATCCTCAGATGCAGCACCAGTGATACATTCCAGCCTTGATCTCTTGCCACCACTTGACGTTACACCCTCTCAGGATGCAGAGCCACCCTGCCTCAGTCCTCAGAATACACCCAGTGTCCCTGTCTTCTGCTGCCAGCAATGCCCTGAAACCTTTAATGACTCTGCACTTCTCGCCATCCACATGCAAGCACACAAAAGATTTGTCAGTCATTTGTTTTGCAAGTACTGCCATAAAAAGTTTATGCATCTGAAAAGATTGCGCAATCATGAGCAGGTTTGTGTGAAATCTCTAAAAGGTCCATTTGAGTTAGAGACAAATAATAAAGACTCTTTGAGAGTCCCAGTCTCTAATGGTACATCTAATGAAAACACAACGCGACACTCTTCACCTCCACTAGATCTCCATATCCCTTTAAGTTTAGAGCCCACATTGACTAGTCCCCCTGAGCTGTCTCAGGATCAAGTTAATGGGACCTTAAAAACAAGTAGCACTTCAAGGACATATAAATGTTCTGTATGCAAACGGGCTTATGTGACCATTTCCAGCCTAAAAAGACATGAGAATGTACACTCATGGCATAGAGCCTATCCTTGTCACTACTGCAACAAAGTTTTTGCTCTGGCTGAGTACCGCACAAAGCATGAGATTTGGCATACTGGGGAACGCCGGTACCAGTGCATCTTTTGCTTGGAGACCTTCTTGACTTATTACATCCTCAAGAATCACCAGAAGTCTTTTCATGGCATCGACCCACAGCTGGCTGTCAATAAAAAGTCCGCAAATGGTGGATTCAAGGGTAGTGTCTACCCCATAAAGCTCTACAGGCTTCTCCCAATGAAGTTTAGAAAGAAACGGTATAAGTCATACAGTCAGACATACTCTGAGGGGTTCGAGGGCAATGATGATTCCTACAGTGAACCACTGGGCAGCTGTTCCCCCCCTACTCTTTTTGACAGTGCTGTACCTACAACTAATTCAGATGTTGTTAATGGTCAGTCATTATTTTCAATGCCAGTGACATTCATGGCCACTCCAAAAATAATGGCATCAGAAACTCCTCGCATCAGCTTTGACAAACCGTGTGACCAAAACATGGGATTTCCTATGTCATCTGAGATAGATCATCCTTCAAAACACCGTTCTACTGATTTCAAGAAACAGCCTGGATTTGATGGGAAAGGGTCCCCGCTCTTCAGCCACAGATTTACAGATTCTTCACAAGAGAAAAACACAGGGACCTCTCTCATTTCAAATGGAATTGACAGAGATTCTTCAACAGAGAAAAACGTAGAAAACAGCACAGACATACTTCCATTCCTCGACATACCATCTGTCTGCTCCTTCGAAGGGTTGAGCAGGCTGAGTGAACTGTCAGCAGCAGCACAAACCATCGAGGACATGGCTAATCAGCTGCTACAAGCAAGACCCGAGAGCATAACCCCGGATCAGCCACCTAGTGGAAAGACAGAAACGTACATTGCTAAGCCTGCATGTCCAGGCCCATCCGTTGACAACCAAGTCCTTCCCCTCTGCCAAATAACTGTGAAGATCGGCAACGAGGCAATTGTTCGACGAAAAATAAAAGGCTCAAAGCTATTTCCTAAAAGGAGAAAAAGGAAAAGCTGGAGACAAGAGGGCATAGGTCAAAATAGCCCTGCAGAGGAGAGTATTGGAAGTCCAAGTCTGCGACTGAGAACAGAAGTCACGACATCAGTCACAAAAAATGTATCATATGATGACCCAAACGATCCTGAAACCGACAAACTATGGCGACCCTATTACTCATATAAACCTAAAAAGAGGAGTAAGAAACTGAAACGCAAACGAACAAGGATGAAACATGTGAGATGCTACACAAGACCATTGTCACCTGAAGCTAACGAAGTCTTCAGAGAGACACCGTTCTGTCCAGATGAGAGGATCTCAGCTGACAACTATGGGGTCAGGAGGGAGCCAAGCTTTAGCAGCCAAAAGGAAGCTTTCTCCTGCCACAGCTGCGAGAGCTCTTTCTACAGCCAGACCTCCCTCAGCATGCACATCATCAGCTGCCATCAGCCACGCTGCAGAATATGTGGTAAACAAAGTCCCCCTGAATGCAGCACAGCTGGGCCCACTGCAGATGATAGTGGTGACTTTATCTGCAAGAGCTGCACTGAGGATGGCTCCTGTTTCAGCTCGGATGTGGCGTCCCACAGTCTGAGCATGGAAAAACGTTACAGATGTTCTTACTGCCCACAGCGGTTCCTTTACCTTGCCACTAAGAAAAGTCACGAGAAAAAACACCTAGAAAAGTCCGATAAAGGACACAACTGCAGATATTGCTCAAAGGTATGTAAATCAGCAGTGCTGTTGAGTGTGCACGAGAGCAAGCACTTCAAGTCAGAAGATGGAGAAGATCCAGACAGGACATGTAAAATAACCAGTTCCTTTTCTAATGAGCGGATCAAACCCGAGCCTTGGGAAAGCATGTATACCTGCTCCGAGATCAAGCCAAAGATGGGGGAACCTATGGACATAGAGTCTGAGGGGAATTATCCTACAATCACCAGTGTCTACAAGAAAACGTCTTTGTCATTTCCTTATGCAGCAGATGGCAGGCCTTTCACTCCCCGTCCTTCAGAGATAAAGAGGAAGAAGTCCAAGAAAAAAATCATTTTGGAACATTCTAAACGATTTGGATTTGAGGGGCACACACAGGACTCTGTGACATGGGGCCAACATGATTGACCTGCCAACACAGGTACAACCAAGTAAAGTGCTGACTCAGTCCAATCTGTCATCCAAGAATACTGTAACCAAAGGAACTTCCCAACAGCCTACAGTTGCTCATGTCAGAGCGACATTTCTGTAAAGAGGAACCTCGTTTTCACACCCACGACAGGAAGGAAATGCATCTCCTGCTGATGTCACATAGAATAATGACGTAAGTGACAAGGCAGGCTTTACAACATTTGAATAATGGGGCAAAAAAATCGCACAAGAAAGTATGAGGAGGTTAGCGTAGTGACTTTGTCTTCAAGAGAACGTGTGATGTACATATAGAGTATTTTTGGTCGTTCACATGAAAAACTATTGGTAGTTTTCCAAGTTTTTTTATGAGAAAAAAGTGGGTTTATTTTTATACGTTTTTATTTGTCTAAGTCAGGTGGATCTTACCTATTTCATTGCTCATTGTGTTGTACTCTATGCATCAAGTAAAGTGAACGGCTAGCTGCACCTTACAGTAAAGATAACTGCGAGTGATTGTACTTTTATTGTAACATAACAACGTTACCACCATTTCAGTCTATTTTTTGCACACCAATGCATTAATAACTCCGCTGATAAATGCTAAAAAATTATTTTCCTGAATATACCAAAAGTTTTACCTTTCATTTATAAAACTGTTTAATTTTGTCCAATACTCACAACAAATCATTAAATAAAAAAAAATAACACGTAACCCAAGTCATGTCATTAAGTGGCCTATAACTCAATATCTTGTTCAAATTACTGTAATGTTGTAAAATGTAATAATGTTAGCCACAGTTATGAAATTTAATCAATGTTTTATCACATTATCTCCTGGTTTCACAAACCAGGCTTAAGCCTGGTCTCAAACTAAATGCATGTTTGCGCTGTTTTAACTAAAAGCAACAGTGTTTTATCTCAAGATGCACACCAGTAATGCTTTTTTTTTTTCCTCAGGCACATTTATAAAAGATACTTTAATGTCCTAATTGAATTAAGGCCTAATCCTGGCTTAATCTAAGCCCTGTTTGTGAAACCAGGCCTACATTTAGCAAATGAAAACGAGGCTGTGGGATCGACGTGCAATAGGATGTATTTTGAGTTTTTTTTTTTTTTTTAATAAACCATTTTGTTAATTTTATTTTCTGCAGAATATGACAATACTATCTTAAGAGTTATTTTGACAATTGGAAATATTTTTGAGAGATGCAGGTTTTGTTCGCTGAATGTTAAATGTGCACTGTGCAGGATTTTTAGTACCTGTTTGCCTCTCCTCGGGCATCATATAAGTTGCACACACATCCCAACTGACTCAAGAAACTGGGAATGGGCAGATGAGCGATGAGCTATTTGTTTATCGTGCATTAATAGCATTTATTTTTTGTCTATATAAGAAGTTACACCAATAGGCGGATCTTTTTTGACGTCATTGTTTATGTTTGTCGCGTTGCATCATGGGAATCGTGTGGCAGGAAACACCGCTAGATACCTGTAAGTTGATTGTTTTGCAGGTTTGGAGGAGGATTTAGAGAAGAGTATTGTTCACCCTTGCTGTTTGGTCGATTGTACGACTCGTTGGGGGCCTGATAACAAGTTTTTCATTTTAAATAAATAAATAAATAAATAAATAAGAACACTCATCAATGAAGACTTTCCCGGCTTTGCAGTCGCAGTGAGCAGTGATTATTTCGCCGTTCTGCGATCACGGGAGATGCGAATCATGCTGTGACTCTGCTTGGCCAGGTCTAACCTCTGCTTTTACAGACTGATCTCATGAATTGGCGTATGTATAACACGCCAATTCGTGTCTCCATTTTTGGCGTGCTATCAACGTGCATAATTGCTTTTCAGCCTGTTTATGAACGCCGTTGACTTAATGTTACATTACTGTATATATATATAAATATATGACTTACCCCATCCCCGTCCCTAAAACTACCCATCACTGGGGTTAATTGCATTTATGAGTCTTCCCCTACCATGCTAGGAAAAAAAAAAATATCGCTCCCCAGATGTAGACATTTAACGGAGTGTACATACACGCGGAATCACTCAGACATTTAACGGCGTAGACATACGCGCATACACGCGGATAGCTCAAAATGCATATAGATAACATGCCACTTGATTCGAAAGTGGCGTGTATGTTTACGCAAAAGTCATGATGTCACGTTGCTTTTAGCACTATCACTGCTTTCTGTTTGGCAGAAAATATCGGCCCAACTTTTCGAGAAACAAAATAATCATAGGCCTCCAGACTTTTGAAAGCCTTTTATCTTTTATGAGTGAAGTGGCCATTCTGTTTGTTTTGTTGCCACACAACCACTCGCACATGCGTACAAAGATGTCAACAAAGATCCTCCTATAGGTGACTGGCTGTAATTTGTGACCTATCTTTAGTCTAGCTCGCTAATAAACAACAATTACGTGTCATTGAAAAAAAGCGTAATTACATATATTACATTTATATATAATTAAGCCAATAACAACATTAGCGAATTGTTTTAGCATCAAGAAAGGAGAACTTAGCGGAGTTTCCCAAGACAGACTACAATGTTTCGTCCTCATCTGGCTGTGACATACAGTATGTCATCATTTGCTGGGGCTGCAGCTCAAAAATGTCCACAGGAATTCAAAAAAGGAGAAGAAAATGCAGGCACAAGACAGTGTCTCTCTGTCGACCACTTCTAGTAGCCTATATATTTTTTTCTTAAAAAATCTTGCATAGTGCACCTTTAAATAAAATGGTATGCAATAGTATTAAACAGCCTTATAGCCTTGTTTTCAATTGTGGCACATTAAAGTGGCATTTACCCTTGACTAAGGTCTATTGTAATGTTGGCTGAGTTCCCTGCCAATAATAAAATATCAAATGTCAGTTTTGTATAATTGGAACATATTTCATCACATTTCCTAATGTCATATCTTTAGAATCCATTGTACAGATAAACCAAAAAAACATGGAGAGGTTGACAGAGAGAGAGAGAGAGTGAAACAGAACCCAGAGCTCCTCTTCCTCCAGAAACTGCAGAGATTTGTAAGTGGGAACTCTGTTTATTCATTTAGATTGTCTCTCTCCCTCTGTCTTTGGCCCTCCATGCTGATCCATCTGAGAAGCTCATTCCCGTTTCTCTGTCGGTTCTCCACACAATGCGGCATTCAGTGTCCCGTCTAGGCCCACGTGACACCAGTGCCAGATGTTCTGAACTCTCCGCCACTGTCAACTCCACTCTCTGGAGATATGCTGAGATCTGGTAGCAGGTTTGTGCCCAAGACAGAAAGACTATCAGTAAAATGTATGTGAAGGTTTTCATTCATTCCAGGTCATTGGGGAATGTCTGGTAGTTTATTCATCTGTACCAGAAAGTTGTTTTACATTTTTCAAAAACTTCACCAGACAGCCAATCAGCTTCTTATATGTTGTGCATGCCTAATCCATCAAAAAAAAAAAAAAAAAAAAAAAAACATCTGCAAGTCTACTCAAATATTGGGCTGTCTCCTATCTAACCGACATACACATATGTTAAAGGACTTTTATTTTATTTGCACCATAATACTTTTACAATAGCACAAGCCCTAATACCTCCAACTGACAAGTCATTGATGAAGGAGCAACACATCATAAATTTGCATTTATATATATATATATATATATATATATATATATATACAGTATATATAAATCGATAAATCTGTGTGTACTGTCACGTGTATGATTATTTGGTGTATATGTATATATATATATATATATATATATACACACACACACACACATATGCATGTATATTTAAGAAATATTTACATGTACACTGTATTTATATTTATACATAATTTATATTAAATATATATATATATATATATATAAATATTTTATATATAAAAAACTATTTTTTCTCAAATATATACATGCGTGTATTTATATAATGCATAATATACATATATATCATGTAAACACAAACTTATTGGATATACGATTAATTACTGCCCATGTATATAAATATACATGCGTGTATTTATATATAATACATAATGTATATATATATATATATATATATATATATAAACACACACACACACATACATATCCTAACAAATATTCTATAAAGAAATAAACTGAGCAAATAATAAAAAATAATTCTGAGCACAAACTACTGGTGAAGTGTCTTGATGAGTTAAGAAATCAAATCAAAACAACGTTAAAATATGTAATCAGCCAACATTTCTGTGCTCCTTTGGTGACTGGCTACGTTTTATGGTGTAGCCTATGCCAAAAGATGATTTTCACATTTACAGATTTGGAATGTCTGAAGAAAGATGGCACATTTTCAGCATTACCAGCCTGTGAAATGGGTCCATCCATAGTCTGATAAATATAATAATATTAGAATATAATTATTAATGTATGACATTAATAATGTATTTTATACATTAGTACATTAGTAATAATGTCACATTATTTTATATATTATTATTACACCTAGTCATAAAAGTAAAAAGTGAAACAAAAACAATATGTCATAAATGTTTGTAGCATTTAGGCCTATCACACTGACCAGGGATGGTCCGATTATCCGATAGGCTACCAGTGATTCACTTTGCAAAGTTTTAAATTCTAGAGATTGTGTGTTTGTCAAGTGACTTTTGTGTAGAGCGCCATTAACTTTTGAAAGTCCTTTTAGGTCAAAAGGCAGTCTATCCACAGCAGATCTTCCAACCTAACCTTACAGTGGCTGTTTCAAAACCTACTGAGCGGTGTACCTTGTTAGTAATTCAGGGTATGGTAAGTCGGAATCCCTACAACGCCAAAATATGCTTTCTCAGTCGACAACTGTAAAAACACAAGTAACTGGGTTTCTTCCGTCCATCTGCTTTGTCGCTCGTCCTCCACTAGGGCTTCCGTTTGTTTTGACTACATGATGTTGCCTGTGTGAGTTGATTCACACAAATCCCGGTCTGGCGTCGCGACCAATCGCGCTGAACCGATGACGCTTTGGAGGGACGTCCATCCGTGAGCATTCATAAACGGATGTGATAAGTGTTGAATGTACTGTACAGAGACGAAACTTGGACCATGGCGGAAGAAGACGACACGAAAATCCGGATTTTGCAGAGCCTCAGAGGAAAGATATGTAAGTGCGACACGCTGCGAGTTTGATGTGTGTGTAAGAGTGTGTTTAGATGGCTTTGAGAGAGAAAGAAAAGGATCGGCACGGGGGAAAGAGGGGCGCGGTAGGAGCAACACACACATACACACACACACACACACACACATTCACACTCAGAGATACTGGATGGGGCACTGAGAACCCAGCGCTGTTGGCCACATTTTACGCACAGTTTGTATATGTTGCGGTATTTTATATTTAAATAATGTTTACATCTTCCGTGACAGATAATATAGCAAAAAAAAAATCCCATTATCTCTGAGTTAGCCGTGGTGCTAACATGCTCCACAGCCTGGTTCCCCCTCACAACCGCCGTTTTTATTCACTATCATGTTAATACCGAAGTGAAATCTTCTTTTTTATCTTCCCGTTTTAACTAAACCCGTCTTCATGTCACCGGAGCTGGCGGTTGTTTGATTCATTCTTACCCGGATTGAGGTTGTGAAATAGACGGTGGAATCTTCGCCAAAATGTGACAAATTCTGAGCTGGACGGAAGTTGTTACATCGCTTTAAATACGCTAACACTGACATAGACAATTATTGTC